TTTTGATATCAAACTTAGCAATAAATTGTCTATAATAATAACTTAGAGTCCGCTCTAGCAATTAAAATAAACAATCATAGAAAAAATATGCATAGGAGAACAAATACATTCATCATATAAACTAAAAAGAAAAGGTAAAATAAATCTCAAAATTTATAAAATCCAAAGGTTTTTGTGTCCTTGCAACCAAGAAAAAGAATTTAGCCTTGCATGTTTGTTGAACAACTAATCAAAAAGAAGGAGAAATGCATGATTTTGGGTTTCTTAGAAGAAAAGGAAATTTTTCTCTTCTTGATCGGCTGCCCCTTTCTCTTCTCTCATTCTTTTTATATCCTAGAAAACCCTAGTCTCTATTTTATAAAATAATCCCCCCTAAAGTAGACAATTTACATTTAAGTACTTAAATAACTATTTTTCTAAAAAAGCAGCAATAGTCATGTATGAAATCTTTAAGCTTTGACTTAGAGGAACTAAATTGTTGAAATAAAAACTTGGATGTCGGTTTAGATGCTTTGAAATGTAATTTGGACTCGTTTCTTCATGAAATTTATTTATTGACAGAATTCAGTTATCATCTTTGAAAAATCATATCTCTCTCGTATGGCTGAAATTTGGATTGTTGATATATCCTTAAGTCAGGAATCCAAAAAAAATCAGTTTGCATCAATTGGAATTCTGTAGTTCCAGATAGGCAAGTCGGAATGGCCGATCAACATGGACAAATTGCAAGATTTGACTTTGAAAGCTGTGATTTTCATGTTTTTCTTATTTTATTTTCTTACCTTAGATTTTTATAAAGGTATGGGTGTTAGCTTTTTAATGCTACTAGAATCACTTCATTTTGATCTCTAAAGCTCATGCTCTGCACAAAACATCGACTGGAGTTCAAATCTGTCAATTACCTCTAATTTCTTCTTTTTGCATCGTTCATCCAAAAGTACCTTCAAAATATATAATAAAGAATATCAAGGCATTTTAAATATAAAATATAGGTAAAATATTAGTTAAATATGGATGAAACTATCATATGATATGGTTGCATCAGATTTTCACTATGCTCTCATGATTATTTTTTTTGTATGCTCTTTTTTTTATATGCCTCCATCCCTTTTTTTGTCAAATGAGGTATGTATTTATAGTAAAAAGTTTCAAAGTTCCAAATAAACACAAACTCTATCTTTTTTTTTCAAATTTAAATTTGTTTAAAATTTAAAATCAAAAAGGTTAATTGAACATATTCTAATAATCTTTTTCAAATTGAAGATTAGGACAAAAGGACAAAAGCACATTATAGTCCATAGTTTTCTCATAAATTGAAAAATTACACCTCTAATTGTAATTAATCATTAATCTTTTAATATTTAATTTTTAACCC